TAAAAGAGGAAAATGAGATTGAGAAGGAAAAATGATTTTTTTAAAAAAATAATACCTGATGATTGCTTTCGATATTTCAATATATCCAATGACTCACCATTTACAATGCAAATTTTTGTTAATGGTAAAAATTGTTTTTCTCTAAAAATTTGAAGAATTTTAAATTTCAATTAAATAAGTTGTTGTCTGGAAATGTGTAATTTTAGGATGAAAATTACCTGTATAAATGATTGGAGGAGGAAAAATGGAAAAAAAAAAAAAGATTAGAAGGAATTTTTGAAAAATGACGAAAAAAGGTGAGGAAGAAAATAAGATAAAAAAAAAAAAAAGCAAACTAAATGATGAACCGGTAGAAAATTGGGATTGAAAAGATGTAGGAGAAGAGAAGAAATATTTTTTGGACAGCTAAAACAACTACCTATATAAATCCTTCTCTATGAACAAATCCTGATATTTCAAAATTATTTATTTTTCTTTAATGTAAACAAATAAACGAAAAATTGATTCAAGTATTCAAATATTTCGAACAATCATTTCCATATAACAGAGGTTTGTCATCCGGAAAAAAAAAAAAAAACCAACATATTGATGATATTGTTATATTTTCTTTCTGATCTTTCATGTATTACAGGAAAGTATTAATGTCAAATTAATTGCTGTAGGAAAATTTTTGAAAAGAAATTTTTTAAACAATCTTAGTGTTGCAAAATTATTTGTAACTTTTAAAAGTGCGAAATTATTTTGGCTTAGTTTTTTTTTAGCTTAAATAAGCATAAATTATTTAAAGAATTCTATTGCAAATGCTTATGAAATGATTTATGTCTTTTTCAAATTCTATTTATTTCCTATTTTAGCGCTTTAATTGACGAATTCAATTAAATTTATCATCGGAAGTATCCTAACTTAGCTGGTCACTCGGTACAGTACCTCTTCTACTGATGATGCTACTGTATGTCTGGTTATTCGGTACAGTACATCTCCTCCTACTGGTGATGCGGCTGTATGTCCGATTATTCGGTATAGTACATCTTCTACTGGTGATGTTACTGTATGTCGAAAAGGGAACATAAATGAATCAATCATTCAGCGAAAAGGTTACAAAATTTCATCGTAAATAATCATCAAGCAATGAATTTTTTAAAATGTAAAATTCATTCCGATTATAATTAATTTAAAATTTAAAATTATGATTATGATTCTTTGCAACTTTTGAAAGAGTGGAGGTATAATTTTGGAGAAATTGTCACCTTATCTGATTGGCAGGTATAATTTCCAGATATATGGTTGGTAAAGATGTTTGAAGAAGTCGATTAACATCTGAAAATGGAATAAGATCAAGTTTGCATCCATTTATTGCTATGATTTGATCACCGGGAAATAATGCACCACATCTGAAATTTAAATCAATTTTGTTAACATCTAAAAAATTTCTGAATCGATAATTTAAATTTTCTTTTGATTTTTCAAACCGATTCAAATATACAAATTTATGGCATAAGCTTGAGATTATTATTATTGTTATTATTTTTTTTTTTTTTTTGAAATTTAAAACATACACAAATGACATGAAATATACGATGCAGTAATTCAGAATTGAAAAACTTTAGTTAAAAGAAATTTTGAAAAATTTTATTAAATCAATCATTATTTCATTTCCTTTTATCGTATTTCCATCTCATTTTTCTTATTTTCATTTGTTCTGTAATCAATTAATTATTCGTTAATTATTATTTGTTCAAATAATTCCACAACAATCATCGATTGTTACAGTTAACAGAAATGTCCAATAAGTTAGAAATTTGATGAAAGAAAAATTTTAAACCTATCAGCAGCTGATGCTGGTATTAAATGATCAATAAAAAATGCATATGTCGTCTTTTCTGTATGATCAATTTCACAAATAAGTTCAATGCCAATATCTAAGCTAAAATCTTTTTCAATTTTCACACAAAGATAATCATTGTTCCGATATGTCATATCTGAAATTAATGAAAAATTTATAAAATGAACATATTGTTGAGAAATTTTATTAAATTTCAATTAAAATAATCGCATATTTAATTATATTTCATCAATAAATTATGCAAAAAATTTCCCCATACCATTTATCTTTTCAATATTTTTCAAAAAATTTTCATTTAAATAAAATTTCATTATATTTTTTAACGTAGAATAAAATAAAATTTTGACATTTTAATTAAAAAATTTCATTTGCTCCAATCATTTCCATCTTTTTTATCTCAATTCATTCATTATTGTTATATTAAAATAATAATACCAATTATATTAATGCAATATTCAATCGTTAAAACAACAGTATTAACAGCTTCAAAAAGTAATTTTTGCGCAGCAGCTAATGTTGCATTAAATACATCAGCTCCATTAATACCAAGTACACGATCACCAATTCGTAAACGTTTTTCACTAAATTATTATAAAATAATAAATCTTATCTAATTATTTTAAAATATTATAAAAAAAAAAAAAAAAAAAATTTAATCAAAAAATATCTGTATCTTCTTTAAAATTTCAAAGTATTATTTTTAACAAAAAAAAAAAAAATTTTTTTTTTTCTTTTCTTCAATTTTATTTCTCTTTTAATTTTTTTATATTTTATTTTTTTAGATTTGAATTAAAAATAATTTGTTCAAAATAGGATATAAACAAATTTTACGTTTAAAGATGATAACATTTTATTGATAAATAACTCAAACTATAAAAATGTAACAAATCTTACAAAAAAANAAAAAAAAAAAATCCACCATGAAGTTACCGATAAGCCGGACTACCGGTTCGAATATTCATAATTGTAAGAGGTCTGGATTTCATTCGATCAGGTCCATATGCACCACCACGTAATGTCACTCCAATTCGATTATTCTCTTTCATTAATCGAATATCCGCATATGCTAATCGAGTATTTGTGGGTTGTTTGAAATCTATAAGTTGTAAGATTTTGATAAAAATTCAAAAAAGTTTCCCCTTCATACTTCGTAAGCTTTTAGTCCTTTTTAAAAATGCTACTTTAAAAATTTATTCATTTGAACGTCAAAAAGTTTAGGAATTCATTATTTTATTTCGTATTTCAATTATTTTTATCATTCATAGAATAAAATATTTTCAAGTATTAAAAAATTCAGAAAAATTGATAATAAACTTGATAATGATTACCGTTATCATCAAGATTGTATTCGACTTGCAAATATACACAATTTCCGGAATTCCGTAATAATGTCATTACTTGCTTATGTGTAAGATTATCAAGCTGAAATAATTTAAAATTATGATCGTTTATCGTTTTTCGCTTTTCATTCTTTCAATCTCAAAAAAAAAAAAAAAAAAAAAAAGAATTTATCATAAAAATATTATCAAAATTATTTTAAAATTATAAAAAAGAAAAAAAATTTACAGCAATTCCGTTCACCAATTTGAGTTGTTCACCCACACGTAGTTGATCACTAATATGTGCAACACTTCCCGGTCTTAGAAATGTAATTGATGGCGGTTGTGAATGATCCGTACCACCTGTAAAAAATAATTTTCATAAATTTTTACAGATTATATATATTTGAAAAAAAAAAATTGCCCAAAAAATTTTTTAAATTTAGAAAAATTGCAAAAATCTTTTATTTCACCTCTTGTTATAAATTTTTCTTTCTTTTTTTGAATGCATTTCATTAAATACATTAATTTATATTTCGCATACCTGTATTATATGAAAATGTTCATGAAATTTTTCCTACCTGTTAAACCAATCCCAAATGGACAATCAATGTTACGCTGAAGATAAATGTCCACAACACCTTTTGGTTTAGTGTCATCATTCGTATGATGTTTTTTAAAAATTTTACACAAACATTGTGAAATTTTATCCCTAAAAGTTTAATTATGAATAAAATTCATTTCTTCATTTTGAAAAAAAAAGATCAAATTTTTTATTTTTTTTTTATTTTTGCTAACATTAATGTAATTATATAAAGTTTCATTATTTACTTAATTATTTCCCTCAAAATACTAACTAATACTGGAGTTTTCTA